GCTGAGCTTTTATTATGCCCCAGTCGACCGCTTCCGGTCGTGCGTATGTGGGGTAAAGCAGCGGAGCTTTTATTATGCCACAGTCGAGCGCTTCCGCTGCTTCCGGTCATGCGTATGTGGGGTAAAGCAGCAGAGCGTTTATTATGCCACAGTCGAGCGCTTCCGCTCCTTCCGGTCGTGCGTATGTGGGGTAAAGCAGTGGAGCTTTTATTATGCCACAGTTGACCGCTTCCGCTCCTTCCGGTCATGCATATGTGGGGCGAAAAAAAAGCAGTGCTGTTTTATCATACTAGATACATTTGAAAGTTCTGTTATAATGCTACTCTGTGCGGTCGTCACCGGTCTATTAAAACACACAACATCACAAGCGTCTTTGGTGTTTCCATGTTTTCTACAAAACAAAACCGGAAATCGAGGGTGTATGACGTCATTGGCAGGTGACACTATGGACACGCTCCGTGTCACTAGTTAAAATTGCTTATTTCTCGGGATTTTTCATTTGGGATATATATAAATATATAACACTGTTCTAGTGGTTTTTGGATATTTTAATACAAAAATCTTACATATTGTGCCTTTAACTGTAATAAACAGGAAAATAAGTGTTAATGTTGCAAAATTCATCAATTTGAAAAATAATTCCATTTCAACTGTAAAGCAACTCTACAAAAGTGTCATTATTCAACTCAATTCAGATTCAATGTTGATTCAATTCAGACTGTCATTAGGCAGCATCCTAACGGTCATGTATCTTAGGTTTGAGGTGGAGTACGTTCTGTCGGAGCCTACAGACTCATGGAAAGGCAGAAGAGGGCAGATAGATGCTTGTATGCTGCAAAACTTCCTGGAGAGACCAGAAGACTCCAAATGTTTAGTGTGTGTGTGCGGCCCAACTGGATTCACAGAGTTAGCAGTGCAGTGAGTCATTGTTTTAATGGCTTACATATATACATTTGATATATCTGAAGCTGTTTGAGGCATTTTTTACTTTTTGGGTAAGGTATTGATTTGTTTTTTCAATGTATACTTTCTCACAGGTTGGTCAGACAGCTGGACTTCAGTGAAGAGGAAATTCACATTTTTCAGGGCTGATTGGGACTTTGAAGTGAAAGATGGATTTCGCATACACATACTTGCAGACTATCTCTATGCATATAAAATGCACTTTCCAGTCAAAACAAAAAGCTGTAACACCGTTCTACTATATCGTCTTATAATTTGTAGAAATCTAATGCCACAATCAGAAGCCTGCACTGAGACACATCAGAAGTTTGTTTCTTAACATTTATTTTTATTTTTTTCCCATTTGAACAATGCAGAATAATTCTGCTAGGTTTGTTTTTGCAATGAAAAAGATAAGTTATGTTTTCTGCATTTGTTTTTCATATTTATTCATGACATGGAAGATTTAGAGCACTTTGTGTAATGCAACTAAAACATAATTGAGGAAGCAATCCATGCAACTGATTTTGTTGCTGTCTCTCTATATAGCAAATTGAAATGGTCAGTAAGTCAGGATGCAAGAGACGGGTTACTTTACAAGTATAGCTATTGCTGTTTGGAAATGCTAATCTGACTGCCTAATTAATAAGGTTTCCCAGTGTGTGTACAGATAATATTCTAATATAATAAATTATCTACCTGGAATGCAATTCCCTACAGAAATGTATATTTTGTGCCTCTAGTGCTGTTGTGTCTCAGCTGAAATCTGTAAACGTGTATGACAAGCCTGATGTCAGTTTAGAAAAGTTTCATTGGGTAAAAAAACTATTATAGCAAAGCACTTTCTGTTATACCAGCAAACCAGGTTGCTCTGGAAATGTATCTTCATGCATTGTTTATTGCATGATACTTTGGATATTATGTGTTTGATACATTGCAGTCCAAATATTTATTTCTTGAAGAAAGCTCTGAAATGTGATTGACTGTAAAAACTGATCATTATTTGACTGGTCAACCACTGATGGCTTCCAACAGAGAACTTGAACAGGATTGTTCTATCAGTGCTCACACTCAAGGGGAGGATGGGATGTGGCACTAAGCTGTAAGCAGCAAGAAATTGAATTAAATGGTTAAAACAAAATGTGTCTGTGTCTTGATACACCTACAGTTTTGATTTCTGCTGCTATCTGCAGTCTTGTAGTCTGAAACAAATCTCACCTGCAAGCAGATGGTAATGCTATTAACAGTGACACATAATACAGGACGATTTATTATAATCAGTAAAATCATGAAATAAAATGCAATATAATTTGATTTGTATAAGATTCATACTTTTAATGTAATTAAAGTAGTTCACCCAAAAATGAAAATTTAAAGCCAGCCAAGCTGCAGATGCGACTTTATCTTCATTGGAACAGATTTGGAAAAGCATTAAAACATTTGCTCACCAGTGGATCCTCTGCAGTGAATGGGTGCCGTCAGAATGAGACTCCAAGCTGCTGATAAAAAAATTTAAATAAAAAAAATCATCAAAATCCACCGACATATTTTAGACATGTTTTGGACTGTTTTTGCTTGTGAACAATGTGTGATCTGTGCATATTTCTCTCCTGATTCAGATAAGACGATATCAATGCACAACAACAATAACAAAATGCATTAATACAAGCTCACACTTCTCCACAACTGAATGCAGAACAAAACTAGCACTAGTTAAAGGTTTTTTTTTTTCAATAAAAACATTCAATTGTTTTTCAAAAGTTGTTTTTTTTTCTTTCAATAAAAACATTACAATTTACTAGAAGTATATTAAAAGTTAATAAAACCACATTTCTAAGAGGCTGGTTCTTTTAATGAATCATTCAAGATGACTCACAAACTCAAATCAGTCTGATGAATCATTCACTAAATGAACTCACTGAATACATAACGGCTGTAGGTCCCGAAAGCACTGTAAAAGACAGAAGATTGTAGAGACGGTGCCATTCTATGTAGGCTTATAATGAGTTTGGGAAATCCCAGAGCAGTTACAGAATCTGCATCTGACTCACTTAACCCATTTAAGCCCACCAGCAACTACACTCTAAAAAATGCTGGGTTGTTTCAACCCAATGTTGGGTCAAATATGGACTAACCCAACTGTTGGGTTAAATTTTGGTTACATTTTTAAATTAACTTTTTAACCCAACAGTTGGGTTAGTCCATATTTGACCCAACATTGGGTTGAAACAACCCAGCATTTTTTAGAGTGTAGTTGCTGGTGGGCTTAAATGGGTTAAGTGAGTCAGATGCAGATTCTGTAACTGCTCTGGGATTTCCCAAACTCATTATAAGCCTACATAGAATGGCACCGTCTCTACAATCTTCTGTCTTTTACAGTGTTAAACAAACTTTTATTTCAAACTAACTGCTGTACCTGAAAATGTAAAATAAATCACTTGTTGCACAGGACGGTTGTCAGAGACACATCCACCAAACCGCAGGTGTTTAGAATAGAAAAAGCAAAAAGCTCCATCTATCCATTCAATCCCATCTCTCAATGTATATCCTAACCATCCACCCTTCTATACTGTCCTGTCTCCTCTTCTCACATAAAAGAACCAAACACATGCTTCCTGTACTCATTCGCCAGGATAAACTCCTGGCAAATGTTTTCTTTGCTAACTTTATCCAGTGTTTCTTTGTGAATGTGACAGACTGCTAAATTGTTAATGCGAATCTGCAACATTGTGCTTCTCAGCCAGGTCTTCAACCTCCTCAGAGCACTGAAGCGCCTCTCTGCTTCAGCAGAAGCAGTAGGAACAACCATAAGAAGTCGTACAAGTGCTTCTACTTGGTTGAAAAGGCCACTGACTTCAGGCAACTGATTCCTCAGAATAGTTGCGGCCTCTGAAGTGGTTGTGTATGTGTATTGGAGCTTAAACATGTTCAGCTGCACCTTCAGTGACCTCTGGTTTAATTCAGGATACTGGTCCACCACAGAAGTGTCCATCTCCCCAGTTAGGAGGGCTTCCTCCAGCTTCGCCAGTGTTTTCAGACCACCCTGATCAAACCTCTCCTTCAGCTGGATGTCCACAGTATCCAGCACCTTGAAGAAGTCAGCTCTGTAGTGTTCTTCTGGGGTTTTAGGTGTGTGTGCAGTAGTGACATTGCCAATGAAGCGTTTTGGTGGACGGCGGATGTGGGGCATGGTTATGGGCTGAATATTTAGCTTGGTAATCATCTCTGTTGCAGGGCTGTATATCTCCTGGAACTTCTCCTCAGTTTTCTTTGCCCTCAGGGTGGTCCTCACACAATCTGCTGCAGAGAGCATACCAGACACTATTTCTGTCCGCTTCTGCAGTGTGCAATTAAGGCACTCCAACTCCTGGATTACTTCAGTGGCCATCATGAGTCCTAAAACTGTGGTACCTTTTCCAAATCTCTCCAACAGCCCTCTCGCTGTCACACCAGTGTTTGAGGCATCTGTTTGGGCCATGTCCTCTAAGCTGAGTAGTACAGACTCGTACTGATGTAACAGAGCAGATAGCTGGAGTCCTGGTTGTCCATCTTGTTTGACACAAGGGTTGCAGGTTGCTAACTGTCCCTGATGCTCACAAATTTCGTTTTGTATTTGCCTGACAATTTGTACAGACAGCCAAGCTTTTGGACCCAATCCAGGGCATCAGATGTCAGTGATGACGCTGTACAAGCAGCCTGGGTGACCAGATTTGCACAGTGGGCGCCACAGTGTACATACAAAGCCAGTGGCTGCATCTCCCTTATCCTGGCCTGTGCTCCCTTTCTGTTGCCTGACATGTTCGCTGCTCCATCATATGTTTGTCCACGCAGACCAGACAGCGGAAGATTCAAGCGCAACAACACATCTGTGGCAACTTTTGCTAGGTTTTCCCCAGTTGTGCTTGAGACTTCGTAAAGCCCCAGGAAGACCTCGTGGGGGACCAAATCATGGTCTACATACCTGACACATATGGCTTCCTGTTCAGTTCCTTCAATGTCCTGTGTTCCATCAATAATAATGGAATATTGGAGGAGAGGCAGCATGTGAATTGAGCTAATGATTTCCCTAATTATGCTGTTTGCAAATAGATTTAAAATTTCATTCTGGATTTTGGGGGATGTGTAATCATGTTTTCTTGTTGACAGCCATTTCTCTAAGCCAGGGTTATCTTCACATCTTACTTTCAGTAACTGGTTTAAGTTACCCTCTTCAGCTGCATGGCCTCTAAGAGCAGCTCCCTGGCGTGCCAAGAGCTGTACAGAGCCCACAATTTTCATGAGACACCATCTTGGTTCCTGTTGCTGTGCAGCTTTGGCTGAAGATAACTGGACATCTACTGGTTTTGTTTTTTGGCAGTGGGTAGTGACGGCAACTTTGTGTGCATTGCTTTGGGCATGTTCTGCAAATTTTTGAGTTGCCTTTTTCCAGTTTCGGAAACCAGTTTTGACAAATGTTGGATCTGCATTCTTGGCCAAATTTGATTTGTCATGCCCAAAAGCTTGAGCACAGAAAAAACATAGGATTCCATTGACTCCTGGACTGTAGTGGAGCCAAGGAAATTCATGTTACCACTTTTCTTGGAACCGTAGCGTTTTGTTGGTGAGCTGCTGCACTGCAATGAGCTTCGGGTTAGCGTGGTTGGGTTCAGCTTCCTGCATGCCTGCCTGCACTTCTTCGCTTGCGCCTGTCCCCTCAGGTCTCTCCTATGAAATATGAAAATGTGCTAGCCTGTTTCTGACATGAGACCTAATTAAAATAAATTACATGACCCTTTACACAGCACATACCTGCAACTCTGAGCTGCTTCTCCCTGTCTCACCCGCCCTGTCTTGAAGCCTCTTCACCTCATCTGTCCTCTGATATTAAAGCATGACACAAATAAAAATAAACAAAAGTTCATCACAACTGAAACTATATAGAAACGGTCAACAAAAAATATCAGGGCCCGCCTCTTTGTTTCTCTCTCACCATACAAGTGAGCAGGTAAATGCATGATTTGACCATGTTAACAAAATATTCTAAACATCGAAACACACACTTTGGCTCCAACAAGAAGATCATTTAATTTGATAATATTCAAACTGTATTCACTACTTATCATGTACACTTCCTCCCTTTTATCACCAACAAATCAAAATCACCTGGCCCTTCATACAGCACATAACCTACCTGTAACATTGTGCTGCTACTGCTTCTCCCTGTCTCACCCTCTCTGTTCTGAAGCAGCTCCACCTCATCTGTCCTCTGATATGAAAACGACTGAGTTATGATCATATTTAGTCTAACATTAAACTAGCATCCAGAGTCTGCTTGTCATATTGCTAACAGAAAATTTGCGGTTTAAAGTGGACTCGTTTTCATGGTACACAGAATGTTCTACATCAGTGGTTCCCAAACTTTTTAGAGTGGAGTACCCCCTGAGGCATTTACCATTCTTCTGCATACCCACTCGCTTCCACTTTGACTGCACCTTTTCCATTATAGGATAATATTTGCCCCCTAAATTGACTTTCCAGTGCATTTTTTATCTCTATAAATACAATATTAATAATGTTTTGAATATTTAAAAAAAAATAAGAGTAATATGCAATGATGATAAAAAAAAGTGAAAAGTGATTATTTTAAATACTAAAACCGGTGGTAAGTCACTGTCTTAATGCGTGAGTCATTCGTTCATTCAGTAATGAAGCAAGTGGCTATATTTATGAATGAATCATTGAATCAATGACTTTCACGAACGATTCGTTCAAAGCCACAGATTTGTTCACGAAACACCGCAAAACTCAGCTAACAATAGTCTGAAGTTACCTAGCAACAGTGTATGTTAACGTTAGCTAAGTCAACGTTAGGCTAACAGGTGTAGACAGAAAATATGATTATCCTGACCTGAGCTAATTTACTGAATCAACCAACTCACATCTCCTTTCTTTCTTTCTTTTCATCCATGATGACATTAAAGTCATCTGTTGCTGCTTCTGGCGTTTCATCGCTGACTGTGCCTGTCTTTTCATCCACGATGACATTAAAGTCATCTGGCGTTTCATCGCTGACTGTGCCGCAACCGCGATACCTGCTGCTCATTAAAACTTTCAGTGAGCTATTTTTAGAGTGTGCACGTGACTTTCCTGGACGTGGAGACG